TTTCCACACTCCATGCATTTAAATGGCTTCTCCCATGTGGATCCTTTTGTGCAAAGTAAGTTCACTTCTATCAGGAAAGGTGTTTCCATGCTCCATACATTTGTGTGGTTTCTCCTCTGTATGGGTCATCTTTTGGGAAATAAGATGAAATCTTTGAGTAAAGGTCTTTCCAAACTCCATGCATGAACATCTTTTTTTTAAAAAACAAATTTTATTGGTTTTTTAGTTTCTTAGAACAACATATTCAGGACACATCGTGGTGCTGGGGTAATCAAACAGCCCAAAACAAAACATATATACATAATACAATCAATACATCAAATATTCCCTCTCTTTTCCCCTCAAATAGCATAGTATATTTAAAATATCCAATTCTAGCTTAAGTGTATTCAACCTGAACCTGTTTTTAAGCTTCATTAGTTTACAATACCATAATCAAATTAACTTTAAATAAAAACATTTTCAACTATCCCACGTATGTTCTACTTTCTTAATTTTATCAAGATCTTATTTACTTCTTCCATTAATCTCCCTTATTTGGAGTAAAAAATTAATCTGTCCTGTACCTATCAAATCCATCAATTAAGCAATCTCTTCAAGCTAGAAAAATAATATCATACCTTAAATCATGTCATATAATTTTCATAGAAATAAACCTCAGACTCTAAAAAAAGCATTCTTAATATTCTAAATTGTCTTTAATCCATTATATAAAAAATATCTCATTTTAAGTAAAATTATTAATCTATCCTAAACATATCTAAGTATATGTATTTATCAATCTATTCTGTGCATAGAATCTTTCAATTAATCAATCTCTTTGAGCTGACAAATTAATATCAAACCTTACATCATTTCAATCCATTAAGTCATAGCTAAACATCCATGTTATAAAACAAACAAGTCATCTTATTGAATTAACATTCAATTAATAATTAATTCACTCCAACTCTAAAACCTCTTTTTACTTCAAACTCATGATCTCAGTCCTTACATCAGTCCATAGTTCTAGGTTGCCTTTAATCCAATTTAAAAAAAATTAAATTTCATTTTTCAATCTTATTCTAGCTTTCCTCTTTTGCCAAGTAGGTTTCCATAATAAGGCTTCCCTTCCAGAAGATAGGTCTCTTTTTGTTGCTTGTAGTGTCACTTGATTCAATGCAGGCCATCTTGATCTCTGGTTTGATCCTCTATTTTTCTTGTCCATAGGGCCTCGTTGCTTCAAAAGTTCAAAATTCAGTCTTTGCTTTTCCTGGTCTTGCTTGTCGGGCAAAGTAAAATTCTCTTTATCCTCAGTTAAGTCCTCTTCTTGTATAATCTGTTTTGTGGAGTAGTCAAGTGCAATCTGAGAGTCAATTTTAAGTTTTAAAGTAGAGATTCTGGTTCTTAATTCTATAGTAGCCTCTTTTATTGTAGTACATATTTCTTCTTTAGCCTCATAGATCTTTTCCAGTATAGGTTTACAGTTTAAGTGTGGTTGAG